ACAGTGCAAGACTCCTGCAGGCAAAGCATATACTCCAGCCCTTTGAACCATCTTTCTGGCCCTGGTTCATTATATTTTTAGCAAGTCAATAGACGCTATGTAAGAAGTAACAGAAAAAAATTAATTTATGATAAATAGAAAGAACAGACATTTTTAAAGTAGAAGAAAACATAAGATGGGATGAAGGACAGAGAGATGGTGCAGGGGTTAAGGCACCCGCCTTGCATCTGGCCCACCCCAGCTCAATCCCTAGCATCACATCTAATAATAACAATGCCTTAGCACAGGCCTACTCGGAGTCTTCCAGTGCCAGGCAGCATATAAACACCTGGAATTTTATCCTCTTAGCAAACATGCAGGACAACAAACATTCGGGCTCCCCGAGCATCTCTGCTCAATAATCCCCCAACCACAAAATATACATATATATCTCATGGGATCAAATATATGAGAGATCATGGTAACTGTAAACACGCCCTCATCAAAGGAAAGGGAGATCTGTAGCCTAGAGTTCAAAAGACACGTAAAACCTGTTTCCAAAGGCCAGAAGTGAAGGTAGGTGAGACAAACATGCATGACATCGGTGCGGACAACAGATAAAAGCCAAAGACACCCAGTTTTCAGAGTTGAAAAGCAACAGCTGCATATGAAAGTATAAGAATCGTAAGTCTGGACTCACAGCATGGCTGCAAAGACATAAAGCAAATGTAGACAACCATGGAAGACACAAACTGACTGCAGTCCACGGGAGATGTCCCCCACTTCTGACTAGTACAGAAAGTCTGGGAAAGCCCTAGAAGGGTAGTGCAAACAACCCGGACAGAACTAGCAATACTGGGACAACAAACAATTATGCAGACACATATTCAGCACTTAATAAAAAGCATGTTCTTCTCATATATGCCTGTGACAGCAATTAAATGAGCCAGACGCAAGTTTCTCAATAAATATAAAAGTCTCAACAAATACCAGGAAGACCAATATTATAGAGAATAGAAATCTCAGAACAGAACCATGAAGTTAGAAACAACAGGATTCTCAAAGACGAACTTCCACACCTGGAAAGCAGCCATTCCCCAGAAAATATGGTCAGGATTGAGGTCACGGTGAAATCAGAACTATTTAGTGCTGGACAAAAAGTGCTCAGACTGAGAAATGGCATTGATGCAAGACTCAGGGAAACATACCAACTTCCATACATGCTTTCTGAATACATAAAAGTGGCAGAATTCCCACAGACAACATAGAGCACACTGCTACTTAGAGATTCAGAACGATGTGGTTAAGTAAAAAAGAGCAACTTGATGGCCTTTCAGGCCCATTTCTGAACACAAGCATGAGAAAGACTCCCACAAACCCAGCTGAGCCAAGAGAGACAAATGAGGAGGCAGCTGAAGACAGAGTTCATCTATACCAATCCTCATTTTCTTTTTTAAAGAATGTAGCAGAATCTCAGCATAATAAAATTGAAAGCACTGTAGCATTGCACTGTCCTCCTGTTGTTTGTCGATTTGCTCGAGCGGGCACCAGTAACGTCTCCATTGTGAGACTTGCTACTGTGTTCGGCATATCGAATAGTAGTTATATAAATTCCAATGGCTAGTGTTTCTAAAAATCTAAAGTTGTCTGTGTGATAAAGAATGTTCCATTAAAAAACTTCAAGCATTTGAGTAGTTTTCAGATTCCGATAAATTGCAACTTTAGTCTTCTATATTTTTATATCACAAACACACAAGGAACTTAGTCAGACACAGGAAACAAACAGTAAAATCAGCCAAGTCGTAAAATTAGATGAAGAAAAAACACTCAATCTATATTTTATTGAGATGATTTCTAAATCAGAGCGATAGCACAGCGGTAGGGTGTTTGCCTTGAGCGCAGCCAACCCGGCTGAGCTGGGTTCGATTCCTTCACCCCTCTCAGAGAGCCCGGCAAGCTACCGAGAATATCCCGCCAGCACGGCAGAGCCTGGCAAGCTCCCCGTGGTGTATTCGAGATGCCAAACACAGTAACAACAAGTCTCAAAATGGAGACGTTACTGGGCCCGCTCGAGCAAATCGATGAACAACAGGAGGACGGTGATTTCTAAAGATTTCAATAAGACATAAATAAGACTATTTATCTTTATTCTAAAGTCAAGCCATTCTACGACGGAGCACAGTTAAACAGGAGACTGGCCCTGGTTTCAAAATGGATCCTCAGGGGCTGTGAGGAAGGTGCCTCAGGCGGCTGGGAGGAGAGGGACTCAGAGCAGCATCAGCTGAGGGGGCTTAGGCGGGATTTCCATCTTGCTGGGAAGGCAAAACCCGGTGCCCAACTGCTCCATGTTTCGCCTCGGGGGTGGCAGTGCCTGAGCCTGACCCCTGGAGCTATGGTCAGCAAAGCACTGGGACAAACATGTGCTGCTGAGCAAAACATCATGTCTCCAAACACGGAACAGCAGGGAGAGGCCTGGGCCTGCAGAGTGGCACGGGCCCCTGCAGGTGGCAAACCAGGGATCTTCCCCCAAGAACCTCGGTGCTCTCCAAGCTCCCCAAGGCCATGACCATACACGGGGCACGTAGAAGACCACCAGGTACTTTCCGGAGCAGGGGCAGATCCCACCAACATCCTCACTGGGGAGCCCAGGCCAAAACACTGGCCCTCCACTGCCTGCCTCAAACCCACAGCACATCCCACTGAGGGCCACAGTCAGGGAGAAAGTGGCACCTACAGCCGCGGCCATGAGGCATGGGCCTACTGTGCCCCAGCATCTCTTGGGGGCAGGAGGAAGTGCAGCCAAGGTCTGAGGCAGGCTCGCTCTGACATGCTGACCCATGGCCCAGGCTGCCAGCACAGGGAGCTCCAGAGCTAGAGCTGGGTCCTCTGTGGGCGGAGGGGGGTAGTGCTCGCTAGGAAGCCCCACCCAGAGCAGCCCAGATAGTGGTTCAGCCACTGTGGCAGCCACCCACACTGGTGGGCACAGCAGCAGAACAAAAAGCACAGTCTCCCTTCCCAGCCTGCCCTGGTGGACAGAGGGTCTCGGGAGAAGCTGCAGATCATCAGGGGAGCAGGCCTGCTCATGGGCAGGGGCAGTGCACATACATGCAGTGCCCCACACTCCTCCTCTCCTCCCCACTGCCTACCACGACAAGGCGGCTGTTTGCTCAGCAGACGCCACTAGAACCACAGTCTTCTCGGGCCAGGGCCACAGGGCAGCTCCCTTCTCCAGGGTCAAAGGAGTCATGGGAACACACCAGCAGGGTAAGGGAACAACGGCCAAACCTGCCAGCACATCTAAGTTCATGCAGACACTCATACAACCACAAGTAACCATGTGCACACACCTGTGATTGTGTATGCACGATTGTGTGCACACTCACGCACACACACACACACACACGTGTGGGCAAGTGGTCTGACACACTGCGCACACTGTGTTCGGGTACACGTGAGCCATCATGCCATCCTGCTCTCTCTCTGGACGAGGCCGCTGTCCAAACTGAGAGCTGTTTCTGGTTTTAGGTTTTTTTTTTCTGTTCTAGTGAAGCAAGATAGTTTTTATTGGATGAAACTTATTCAGAAAGATGTTGGGGAAGAAAAAGAGAGAAGTATGTGTTCAAGAGCGGACCAACAACCAGGTGCTGAAAGGATCCCTGCACGAAGCACCAGCAAGGCAGACGGGGAAGGGCCCCTGACCCCAATGCACACCAAGGCCTGCCTCTCCTACTGGCCACCACAGTGCCCGTCAATGTCGCTGAACTCGCTGAACACTTCCTGCAGAGGGGGAGAGCACAGAGCAACAGGAGTGCCTCACTGAGAAGTGAAGCTTTCACAAGCAGTAAAGCCCCCTCACCTGGAACAGTCCCCTCCAGGCACCTGTGCTGCATGTCACATCTTACACAGGTGCCCACAGACCACTTTCACATTGCTACGGCATACGTGACCATCAGCTCCGTGTGTACAACACATGCATCGCCTTCTCGTCCCTCAATTCTTCTGAAAGCAGTGTCAGTCTTACCTGGCTGCTGCGGGTTGAATGATTTAAATGCCCGTGAAGAGACTCACCACCAGAATGTGTATATCAGTCCTGACTTATAATGAAGAATAAAATATTGCTTACTTCACTGAGTTTCATGAATTAGAAAGGATCGTAATGCTGGGGCCACAGAGAGAGCACAGGAGGTAAACCACTGAAAACCTGGCTCGGTCCCAGAAACTCATATGGTCCCCTGAGCACAGAGTCAGGAGCAAGCCCTAGATACCTCTGGGTGTGACTCAAAAACACAAGAATCATAACACATACAAAAGAAGGTGAAACTAGGCTCATACTTAAAAAACATGAAATAACCACCAAATTTATTTAAAATCCCATAAATGGATGCAATCTGATCTCAGCAGATGGACATAAGAGCACCAGCTCAGGTCAAGCTCCCAGGGATAGAGCAGCCAAGGGTGTGGCCCTCCCAGAGACCACACCTGCACACAGAGATCTCATTACGCCAGCCTGTCTAACACATGCTGTGCTTCAGGGCTCGCTCTTTTAGTACCTCACGAGGTTACAGTTTCCACAGCATTCCTGCATAGGAAATAATCCCTCCAACAACACTCTAAGCTGTCATTTCCCAAAGCCCTACAGAAACCAGAAAAACTCTCTCCTATCCAAATCTCAAGCATCCTAATGAGCCTACACAGTTAAAATGTTGGAGTAATGTCAAGATAAGTGCCTTCAAGACCTCCCTCCATGACCAAAGGTGACCCCAAAGGTGAGCTGTGGAGCCCCGCAGCCACTGGCCACCCACTGTACTGCCCACATAGTCCCTTAAGCCTCTTCTGCCAAAACTCAGGCTTAAAATATCTTCAAAGGTTAAACAATATCTAGAATAACTCAATGATCAACAGCAAAGTACATTAAATCCAATAGCAAACTGATAAAACTGGGTCATGTTACACATTTGCACCTACAGACGACATTCAAAGTTGTATGGTTCTGTAGAAGTTGTCTCTGGGCAAACACTCACTTGATTCTGACAGATCTGGTGCACGGGCCTCGCGTGGGCCTCTGCTATCACAGCTGCACTGCGGCCTGCGTTGCAGTCGAACACTTCCAGGGACCGGTGTCGGCTGGCAGCAAGCACAATGTCTGGGCCTTTGGTCAGGAAAAACAGGACTGTCCCCTCCACTGATATATCTGGGACATCGGAAGACACAGAGAGAGCGGCTGGGAGCCCCTGAGACTCTCTGGGTTCCCTGGACCTGAGCCGTCTCAGAGGGGCAGATGTCTCCTGACAGACAAGGGCCTGAGAGGGCTGGGAGACAGCAAGTCAGAAGTTGGAGCACAGCCCCAGAGCGGCTGCTGGCGGCAGGGGTGGGGCATGGGACACTGTACACCCTGCGTCTCTGGCAACTGTAACAAACTTGGTAATGGTCAGTCATGAGGACATTACAGATCAAGGCTCTCCTGAACAGAACCTCCCAATCTTCAATTCCATCAGAAAATAGGAAGAAAATCAGAGCCAGTGAAAAGAATACTAGATTCAATAAAAACCCAATTCTAATTCCAAAATATGAAGACATCAGCAGCCAAGGCTGGAGAAATCATAAAGATACCTTTATTCTAAGTATTTTATTTTTAAAATATTCTAGCCCCAACACGAAGAGCCTCAAACTCAAACTTTTGAGGCTCTTCGTGTTCCTAGAACGAGCAGACGCCATTGGGCTACAATAGCACGCGACTGGGACAAATGGAGACGTTACTGGTGCCCGCTCGAGCAAATTGACGATTAACGGGAAGTCAAGTGATTCATGTGATTCTAGCCCCAAAGATCACATTTCTAACTAAAATATACTAGAACCTTCTCACTAGTTCTTATGAAATTTTAAACATAAAGCCCTTCAAAAGAATTCAAGATAAACCTTTGAAAAAATTAAAGTTTTATCAAATTAACTTAGATCAAGAGCTTAATTTAAAAATAAATTAGGCCAAAGCAATAGTACAGAGGTAAGGTGCTTACCTTAGCACAAACCCATGCAGCAGACCGGGTACAAAGTTCAGCAATACAGGTGGTCCCTGAGCACAGAGCCAGGAGTAAGCTCTGAGCACTGCTAGGTGTGCCCAGAGCTCTCCACCAAATGAACAAAATTAATTTAAAGGGGATAAGGTGTGTAAATTTTTTTCCATGATTAAATTTTTGGAGCCGATTTCATACTCTTTTTGGAGGTTGGGGGGTGGATTTCAGGACTCACCCAGTGGTACCCAGGGTTACTCCTAGCTCTGCACTCAGGAATGACCCCTGGCATGGGTCAATCCTTTGCAAGGCAAGTGCCCTGCCCACTGTGCCATTGCTCCAACCCCAACGAATTTCATATTCTACCCAGCAGGAACTGCTGAGATTCTGATTACTGGCCTGAGCAGAGCTGACCCTACACTCATCAGAGGTGGTGCGAGTCAGAGTAGCCGACTGGCCATCCCAGAAGAGGCAGGGTAGGGCCTGCTGCCCGTGCCCTCCTTGGACTCCAGCCCAGGGGGACTATCCCCAAGGGATCCCTCATCTTAGAACTCTGCGTCTTCGGTGAGCACTGCCCCGAGCTCAGGCCCTCAGCAACCCTATGCCAGAGTACTTTTCAGGATGAGGACACTTTAGGGATGCGGGGAAGAAAGGATACAGGAATAAAAATCATTTACTGCTGACAGACACGTGATCTCTCCTCTTTCTGTCAGAGGGAGTCTTAAAACAGGCTTGCACCAGCTCTTGGGCTTGTATCTGGAAGAAAGAAAGAGATAATGTCGGCCAAATAATATGTGTCCCTCCCATCAGAATAAGTTTTCTCCTTCAGCAGGCTGAAAGGTCAAAAATTTTCAAGTCACCCAACCATCATGTTCTATAGCACTGAGGGAATAAAAAAGGTCCTTATGCATGCTAATTTTCCTAAAAAATTCTAGCTCTTCCTTAAGGAAAACCTCATAAAAAGTGATCAATGCATATAGTCAAAATAATTCATTTCTATCTATGAGAAAGCAAATTTTTCTCCTAATCCTAAAATCAGGAGACAACCAATCAGCTATAAATTATCTTCCATACAACATTTTTTGTCAATTTGCTCGAGCGGGCCCAGTAACGTCTCCATCGTGAGACTTGTTGTTACTGTGTTTGGCATATTGAATATGTCACGCGTAGCTTGCCAGGCTTTGCCGTGCGGGCGAGATACTCTCAGTAGCTTGCCAGGCTCTCCAAGAAGGGCGGAGGAATCGAACCTGGCTCAACCGGGCCGGCTGCACACAGGGCAAACGCCCTACCACTGTGCTATCACTCCAGCCACCCCCCCCCCCCCACTCACATGGTCCCTGAGCACGGCCAGTGTGACTTCCATACAACATACACACTTAATATTTTCTGAAAAGCATCATAAGCAGTAACGGTTGATTGAATGATTTTTTTCAGTGGGCCCTATCAGTAATCTCATAAAGGAAAGGAACCAGCTCTCACAGATGTCTGGGATTTGACACACAGAATATCATTTTTCTTTCTCCACTTTCAGCCGCATGGGATCGATCAGAAGCAACAGTCTTTCCTACCAGTGTGTGTGTTTCTGCAGGCTCCCACAAGTCTGCCAACCACCCAGATGAAAAAAGTGATTCAGCTTTACCACAATCAAAACCCAACCCAAGTGCTCTGACATGGCTGTTAAAGCAACATCCTTAATAGGCTGGAGATAATTCAGCAGGGAGGGCACTTGCCTTGCACGAGCCAACACGAATTCATTTCCAGATACCCCATACAGTCCTGAGTCCCATCAGGACTGATCCCTGAGAGCAGAGGAAGGAGTAAGCCCTGAATACTGCTGGGGAAGGCCCCAAAACAAACAAAAAATTGCAATAGAAATGAAGAGAAAATAGGCCAGGGCAAGAAGACATACAACACCAGCACCTCTCTCCCTGAGGCCAGGCCTTCGCAGGAGGGAGGCCTCCATGTATGTCATCCCAGTGAGCGGGCCCTAACCCACGGGGCCCCCACAAAGCTAGCATCCCACTGAAACTGCTCTGTGCCTGCCAGCTGACCCAGCACAGAGAGGGAACGTGCTTGCCAGGAGCAGGTCAGAGAGAAGAGGCCCAGTGGGCAGCCTACCTTTTCATCTCATCCTTGGAAGTGTCGATGTGATACTTGAGTAGCTGAAATTCTGAGCCAGAAGACAACAGTATGAAAGCATCGATGTAGTAAAACTGTGCAGACTGGACGGGCCTGAAGAACGTGCCTCTGCCCTGCGAAGCAGAGAGCAGTTCTTCCCCACGGCCAACCTCGGCAGCACTGCTGCTCTAGAACCACCCTCACCCCCGGCCCCAAACGTGCAGACACGTGTTTAGAACCAAGTCCGGCTACTTCAAAGTTGGATTACAGGATTTAGATTGTGTTGTGTGGGGTGCTGAACCGTGAGCATTAAAAACGATGACAGTGAAGACTCCTGAAACAAGACAGTTTCGTGACCCATAGCAAGGATTCTAATGTGATGTTCTATCAGCGTTCGTATGCCTGCTCAGACACTGTGACCTCACAACCCTCCACTGGGCTCCCCACATTTTTCCTTTCTCCGCTGGTGTTCCTGGATACAATTCCATCTTACAAGACTCTCAGAATACAAGTGCTAATATCATCTGCAAGCACTGGTGACATGCCAGCTCGTGAGTGTCAGCTCTTCGCTCTGCAGAGGACACTGGTGTCATCTCCCTGTTTCTCAGGTCCCGTTCTCTTTTCCAGCGATCTCTGTAAGTTCAGTAGAACAAGTCATTTTTCTCCCCAAAAGTACTTCCTCCAAGAATGTTCCCTTTGGCATCATCACCTCCAGTATGATTTTAAATTATTCCACTCTTTGAGTATTGAAGTTCTCCAACTTTAGGCCATCACAGAAGGAAGACGCGTCCAACTCGGTGTGTGCAGGTGCACACCTGTATCTTACGTGTGTGTGTGTGTGTGTGTGTGTGTGTGTGTGTGTGCATTTCTGCACTTGGCTCTCTGCCTAACCACTCAGTAAAGGAAGAGGTTGGGCTTGGAGAGGGCTCTGCTGGGGCAGCTGTGACTATCTCAGAGCATCGGGACGGTCATTCCAAACCCACAGTTACTGTTACCAGAAGCAGGGCCAGCTCCAGCCTGCGAACAGACCACACCCTCAGAGTCCTGTCCTGGGAAGCAGAGAGCAGCCACCTGCCGCCGTGGCTCCAGCTCACGGTGCTCACAGCCCCGTCATGACCTGCGGAACACACAGGAAGGCTCATTGGACACCATCCCCCACACAGCTGCAGGCACCACCCAGGACACAGAGGGACAGAGGCTGCACTGCAGGAATGACGGGGTAGGACATGGTAGGACAATAGCTTCTGTAGGACATGGCCCCAAACTTCATATTCTGTAAAACATACCCGGAAATCAGGTGTGAATCTGAGAGTGCAATTTTAGAAGACAATAAGGAGCCAGAGAGATAGTGCAGGAGGGAAGACTGGTGACCACGACCCTGGTTCTAATCCAGTATCACGTATGGTTCTCTGAGTATTGTTAGGGGTCATTCCTAAAGAGAACTAGGAATACCCCCTGAACATTATGAGGTGTGTCCCCAAACAAAATAAAGTGAATTATTAAAAAGTGAAGAAACATAAGATGTGGTACCTTAGGGCTGGAGAGACAGCACATTGCATAGGGCTCTTTCCTTGCACATAGCTGGCCTGGGTTCAAACCCTAGCACTCTTTATGGTCCCCCAAGCACTGCCAGGAGCAATTATATGTGGTGTTCTGGATTCTAGTATAAAGACCTGTGTATTTCCTGACAATGCTGGCTTCTTTTCATTTTAGTGGCTGGGGTGGAACTGAAGTCCACACATTGCCTGCTGAGTGCTGTAGCACTGAGCCGCCTCCCTCTATTAAGCAATGAATTTATATGGTTTGGGGGTTTTGGTGGGAGGGAAGACACATTTGGTGGTGCTTCAGGATTACTCCTGGTTCTGTGCTCAGGAATTGCTCCTGGCTGGCTCTATGAACCATCTGGGATGCATGAGATTGGACCCAGGTCAGCTGCAAGGCAAGTGCCCTCCCTGTTGTACTATCTCTCTGGCCCCGAATCTTTTTTTAATGTTTTTAATTTTGTTTTGGGGCCATATCTTGTGGTTATTCTAGGCCCTGGACTCAGGAATCACCCTTGGTGGACCCAGGTGACCATATGAGATGCCGTGGATCGAACCTGAGTGAGCAAGTACTTTAAAAGCACTGTAACTTTACTGCACAGACTCACAGCTGACTGATTACAGGCCGGTCTAGACTCTCTTTCTCAGGGTGCTTCTGTGCTAGCTCAGGTTAACTAATCACCACGGTACCCACAGATTATGGGACTGACCACCACTGTCCAGCAGCCAGTACTGCTAACAGTTGCACCCTGTTGTATCACCACAGCTGAACAGTGCCTTCTCATTGGACAGCAGGGGGATTTAAGGCATAACTGCAAGATCTGACAATGAACTGCAATGTCACCCACATCACAGTTTTCAGGGAAGAAACAAGATGAAAATGGGAAAATCGGGTTGGGGAGATGGTGCAAAGGGCTGAAAGCATGCTTGGATGAGGGAGCTCAAGATTAGATGGTTCTATATGGTCCCCGACTTGCCAGCAGGTGTGGCAAAAAATAAAAACAAAGTAACAAAAAACAAGGGAAAAATATAAATAATTATAAGCTAGTCAATGAACAGGAACTGGAAAAGGAGAATAAGGTTGTGCCATCAGGAAGATTCCCAAGGGCTCTGCTGCCCTCTGGTGGGCATCCACCAAAGTTCTCAGTGCACCCTGGGTCAAACCCACGGTCACCCTCCTAGGTACTTTATGGACCAGTGCTGCCCTCAAGACAGAACCAGGACTTGGGACTGGCTCCTGGATAGGACATGTACCTCTGATGTAAATGAACTGGCAAGCTGTTGGTCCAGTTCTGGAGTCGTTCCTGGCCTATCGTTGGACACTGGCCCTCACCTCTAACCCACAGATATCAGAAAGGTCACTCTCAGAGAGACATGCAGGGTGACAGAACCACACTTGGCTGAACTCATTTGTTCCCATGAAGCCACATGCATTGAAGAGCTAGACCACCTCCTTGAGTTCATGCCTCCATCTGTCCATCCACTGCCCCTGGCACTGGGGCAGGTAAACATGATAAAAGTCATACATGAACCCCACACATAAAGGTACATGTGATGGAAGTTCATATATGAGCCCCAAAAGTCACTAATGAAGGCAAAGCATAATGCTCATGTGCTGTCTCCAAGTGCTGCCAGCCTGAGGCACCTGCCTGATACTTCAGCTAGAACAAGCAGAGAGCCCTACAGAAATTGGTCCTCTGAGATGAGAGCTTTGAGGTAAAAACTGGGAACTGAGTATCCGGAGGTGAGATCCCTGAGGGTGAGATCTCTGAGGTAAAAACCCTGAGGTGAGAACCCTAATCTGAGAGCCCTGAGGTAAGAGCCTTTTGGTAAACTCCTTGAGGTAAGAATGCTGAGGTGAGAGCCCTAAGGTGGAGTCCCCTGAGGGTCAGATCCCTGAAGTTAAAACCTTTAAGGTGACACACCTGAGGTGAGAGCTCTAAAGTAAAATTCCTGAAGTGAGAGCCCTACTAAGGTGAGTCTTCTGGAGGTGAGTCCTGAGGTGATATCTCTGAGCTGAGAACCCTGAGATAAGACCCCTGTGGAAGAGACCTTGCGGTGACACACCTGAGGTGAGAGCCCCAAGGTGAGAATCCTGAGGTAAAAGTCATGAGGCAGGTCACTGAGGTGAGAGAACTTTGAGGCTAGACCCCTGATTAAGAGAGCCTTGAGGTAAGAGCCCTTAAGTGAGCCCCCTGAGATGAGAGATCTGGGGTGAGAGGTCTAAGGTGGGAGACCTAAGGTGAATCCAGAGGTGAAACCACTGAAGAGAGACCTTTGAGGCAAGATTCCTAAGTGTGAACTCCGGGGTCCAGAGTCCAGAATTCTCCTCTCTCTTTTCCTCCAGTTAAGCATGGTTGTGCAGGGGCTTCTGAACCCCACAGGCTCATTTAGATGCCTGATCCTCTTGGATACAAGAGTTAAGAACTTTAATAGAGAAATTAAAGATATCAAGGACATACAGATAGGAAAGGAAGAGGTCAAGCTATAACTATTTGTGGATGATATGATATTATACTTAGAAAATCCTAAAGACTCTACAAAAATCTAGAAAGAATAGGTTTGTATAGTAAAGTGGCAGGCTACAAAAACAACACCCAAAAGTCCATGGCTTTCCTATATACAAATAATGAAAGAGAAGAAAGAGATATTAAAAAAAAACTTGTTCACAATAATATCTCAGAAAATCAAGTACCTCAGAATCAGCTTAACTAAAGAGGTAAAGAACCTATACACAGGGGTATGGTGCTGCCAACAGGTCAATCTGTACCTGTGAGGCGAGTGCATCAGCAGCCTGATGGTGCCTTCAGACTTCCAGATACCCCCAAATTGCTGCTGTTCCTTTGGCCAGACCCCAAAAACTTGAGGCAAAGTTTACCAAGAAAGTAAACGGCCAAAAGTTAGGTATGTGGGAGACACACCCACAAACCACCTCTGGCTCAGCTATATAATTGGAGGCAAGGCCTCTCTGGTTTCTGATTGAACTGCTTAATGGCCATGATCCCAGAGACTCAGAAACAAATCTCAAAACCCAACAGCTTTTGGCAGAAATGCGTCCAGTCCCTGCAGTAGGTTACCAGCGCCGGGCCACCCCAGGGAATAGATTTCATGCCTTGGCCTGTTCCCCCTGGCAGCCTGGTGGCCGCCATCCTCTAGAGGCCATTGGAAAGTGAGGTTTGGGCCCTCAGTGACGAGACACGTGGGGTCTCACAGGATGGGGGTGGAGCCGGCCTTTTCCTCCCCACCCCAACGAGACCCCAAGTTGCCACCCACTATTGGGCCTCTCTGCCTCCTGATCAAGCTGCTTAATGGCCATGATCCAAGAGACTCAGAAACAAATCTCGAAACCCAGTGTCTTTTGGCAAAAATGTGTCCGGACCCCGCAGTAGGTTACTGTCGCTGGGCCACCCCAGGGGGGAAAGGGTGCTGTCCCTCCACCTGCTCCCCCTTGGTGGCTCATTGGCCGCCTTCCTCCAGAGGCCATTGGACAGTCAGGTTTGGGCCCTCAGTGACGAGACACATGGGGCCTCATGGGACGGGGCTGAGCTGGCCCTTTCCTCCCCGCCCCAACGATACCCCAAGTTGCAGCTCACAAATGGCCTCTCTAGCTCCTGATCAAGCTGCTTATAAGGTCATGATCCAAGAGACTCAGGAACAAATCTCGGAACAGCAGGTTTTGGCAGAGATCCCTCCAGATTTAATTGTTAAAATTTCGGAATTTCAAAATCACGTGGCCACTACTGCAGCCGCGTGACATCATATGTTATTCATAAGCAGCAATAGAAAACAAATTGTCTCTTGTTGCTTTTTCAGCAGATCTGGGTGTTGGGGTAAAATCCCAAATAATAATGGTGGGTGTGGTGTCAAAATATTGAATGTAATCAAAGTAGAGATAGAGTAATGTGGAAATCATTTGCCCCAGAGGTAGGGGGAGGGCTTGAGATTGGGGGTATACTGGGGTTTTGGTGGTGGAGAATGGGCACTGGTGAAAGTATGGGTGTTTCATTGTCTAACCAAGACTTAAGCCCAAAAGCTTTGCAACTTCTCTCAAGGTGATTCAATAAATAAAATTATAAAAGATGGGGGAAAAGAACCTATACAAGGAAAATTACAAAACACTACTTCAAGAAATAAAAGAGAATACTAAGAAATGGAGACACATGTCCTGCTCATGGATAGGGAGGATTAACATTATCAAAATGGCAATACTCCCCAAAGCACTATACAGATTTAATGTAGTCCCTATCAGGATATCCATGACATTTTTCAAAGAAATAGATAAAATACTCCTGAAATTTATATGGAGCAATAAACCCCCATGAATAACTAAAGCAATTCTTGGGAAAAAGAAGATGGGTGGCATCACCTTCCCCAACTTCAAACTGTACTACAAAGCAGTAGTAATTAAAAAAGCATTGGTATTGGACTAGAGACAAACCTGCAGACCAATGGAACAGAGTTGAATATTCTATCATAGACTCTCGAGTATACGATCACTTAATCTTTGATAAAGGAGCAAGAAATGTGAAGTGGAACAAGAAAAGCCTCTTCAACAAGTGATTTTGGTAAAACTGGACAGCTACCTGCAAAAAATGAACTCTGACCTCTGTCTAACACCAGGCACAAAAGTCAGATCAAAGTGTATTAAAGACCTCAGTATAAGACCTGAATCCATAAGGTACACAGAGGAAAATGTAGGCAGAACCCTCCACGACATTGAAGCTAAAAGTATTTTTAAGGACGAAACACCACTGATGAAGCAAGTGGAAACAAATATAAACAAATGGGACTAAATTAAACTAAGAAGCCTCAGCACCTCAAAAGAAACAGTGCCAAAATACAGAAAGAACCCACAGAATGGGAAAGAATATTTACCCAATATCCATCTAATAAGGGATTAATATCTAGGAGATACAAGACACTAGTAGAATTGTACAAGAAAAAAAACCCTCCAGCTCGTAAAAAAATGGGGAGAAGAAATGAACAGAAGCTTCCTCAAAAAAAGAAATACAAATGTCCAAAAGGCACATGAAAAAATGCTCTACATCACTAATCATCAGGGAAATGCAAATCAAAACAACAATGAGATATCATCTCACACCACAGAGACTGGCACACATCGAAAAGAACAAAAGCAGCCAGTGTTGGCATGGATGTGGGGAAAAGGATGCTCCTTCACTGCTGGTGGGAATGCTGACTGGTTCAGCCTTTTCAGAAAACAATATGGGCATTCCTTCAAAAACTAGAAATTGAGCTTCCATGTGACCCAGCAATACCAATTCTGGAAATATATCCCGAGGTTGAAAAAAAGCACAGTAGAAATGACATCTGTACCCCTATGTTAATTGCAGCACTGTTCACAATAGCCAGAATCTGGAAACAACTCAAAGTACCCGAGAACAGACGACTAGTTAAAGAAACTTTGGTACATCTACACAATGGAATACTATGCAGCTGTTAGGAAAGATGAAATCATGAAATTTGCTTATAAGTGGAAGGTCATGGAGAGTATCAAGCTAAGTGAAATGAGTTATAAAGAGATGGATAGACATAGAATGACTGTACTCATTTGTGGAATATAAAATGACATGAGACTGACATCGAAGGACAGTAGACAAAAGGGCCAGAATTATTGCTCCATAGTTGGAAGCCTGCCTCATGAGCTGGGGGAGAAGGCATCTGGAATAGAATAGGAATCACTAAGTCAATGATGGTTGGAGGAATTGTTCGGGATGGGAGATGTGTGCTGAAAGTAGATAAAGTTCCAAGCATGATAACCTCTCGGTATCTGTATTGCAAATCATAATGCCCAAAAGTAGAGCGAGAGTATGGGGGTAATTGTCTGCCATAGAGACAGGGGAAGGGAGGGGATACTGGGGACAGTGGTGGTGGAAAATGTTCACTGGTGGAGGGATGGGTGTTCTACCACTGTGTGACTGAAACTCAAACATGAAAGCTTTGTAACTGTATCTTACGGTGACTCAATTTAAAAAAAGAGGAATTGGGCAGAAGCCCTGACTGGAGGCCTTCTCCATACAGGAGAAGTGTAAGTGATCCTAGATGTGCCCATCACAGGGATGATACGCAGTAAGGGGACCCAGCAAGAGCTACAATGAATCAAGAGCTTCAGAAGCAGAACATTCTGCGTTTAATATGATACTTCAATAAAAATTACTTTCTATACAACTCCACATGCCTAATGAGATTTTAACCAAACATTATCCTCTGAAGTGTCCCAGAATTTAATCCCCTGTAAGTGGTGTCTCCTGTTCTGTGCTAGTATGAAACTAAACTCAGAACACCCTGCTTCTGAGTGTTTGTGCCTTGGGGCCCTTTTTCCTTCTTGGACCCTCCATCCCTCCATCCCACCTGCCAGCATCCCCTCTTCTCAAAAACACAACAACAAGTGAGCAATTTTGGAGTTCTCTGTGTTTTGTTGTAAAATATTTACCACATGTAAATTTGAAACAAGCAGTTTACTTCATCAATGGAGAGACTCTGAAGTTTCAAGACCAGGAATCTGTGTGTCAGTGTTACAAATCTAAACCAGTGAAATTTTAGCCAACGTTTCCTTCCTCTCAAATCATTTGCTTTGGGAAAAAGCCCCTGCCTTGTTACAACAGCACAGTGACTGTGTGCACCCTCTGAGCCCTCACTGCCCATAACACTGCTGTCCTGTGCTCCTGATCTCAGCTGCACCCACTTTTGGTTCCAGCTCAGTGAAACCTGTCTTGCTCATCAACTTGCTCAATCAAACCCCATTAAGCCTCGGTTCTCATCAGCTCAGGTCTTGAAGGGAGCAAAAGGGGCACTTAGCCATCATTAGCCGGAGCTAAAATAAGACCCAGTCACCAATTCACATTATTTAGATCAGACAGTGTTACCTGAAAAGACCCTGGGCATCCCAGTAAGATCAGCATTGAATACCAGTGACAAGTGATTCGCTAAGCCACAAGCCAGCTGTCGTCCATCTCCTGTTGAGGCAAATGAGGGATGAGGCATACAATAGTAATGCAGAATTTTTAGTGAAATGGCTGCTGGTTTGCTCAAGAAGAGGCACAGACAGTGAACAATGTGCACATGGCTGCAGACTGCTGGGAAAGGGTTCACCTGCACCAGGTCCTTAAGACTTCACACATAGATGGGTGCTGAGGGCCAGGGCTGAGGTGAGCAGAGCATCTCCACAGTCAGCACTAGAGCTGCCCCAGTCCCCTGTTCCCAGCAGCCATGCTGAAGCCCTGGGAAACAGGCCTCCACCACAGACTGATGAGGTCAGGTCAGCAGTGGAGCTCCACTTAGAAATTCCCTAAGCAGCCTAGAACTTATAGGCTTTGGTCATAATGTTTAACCTTGAGGACCCTGATCTTAAAATCACATGGCTCATGCTTGCTTCACATATGAAATACCACAAAACATTGACTTTTCTGGTAATTCTATGTCTAATTCCCCCTCCCCACCGCCCATAGTAGTCAAAAAATGATTCTTCTGGAATTCTGTGAGAAACGATCTCCAGAAATTCTCTTTTAAAACACTGAGTCCTGTCGGGTCCAGACTTGCAGAGCTGTCTGCAGAGGCTGGAAGTTCACTCTGAATCAAGCGGGGAGAACCCCAGAAGTGGGGTTCACTGACTTCTGCAATCAGAACCCCCATCCATTCTTTTAGAAAGTGCAACTTCTAAACTTGCTTGAGATCGTATCAGGAATATGGATTATAGTTGCACTGGAGGAGGGTGGGTTGAGTTTCCCTCCCCACCCTGAGCAGAGCCCTGGCAGCTGAAGACCTTCAGTTCCAGCCACAGTCATGCTTAAGACCACTCTCCACACGTTTGGATGAGCCTCATGCATGAAGGAACTGGCAGAGGAACCTAGGTGTGCGGGACCCGGGGCGTAGATTTCCAAGCCTGCTCAGATTGGAACTGGGTCTCCTCCACCCAGATTCTCCACCTTCAAGTATGTAGGCATTATACCTGCCAACTGCCCCCAGTGCCGTGTAATCCCATCAACGGCCAAGACCCAGAGACTGCAAAACCCAGCTACCGAAAGTGTGCGGCCGCATTTGTGGCCATGTGACATCTTATTATCTAGTTCTTACTCTGGAGAACCTGGCAGGCTACCAAAAGTATCCTGCTGACACGGCAGAGTCTGGCAAACTCTCCGTGGCATATTCAATATGCCAAAAACCAGAAACAATGATGGGTCTCATTCTTCTGACCCTGAAAGAGCCTCGAATATGGCACTTTCTAAAATCTCAGGGCTAGGATGAAGGAGACGTTACTGATGCCTGCTCGAGGAAATCAATGAACAACAGGATGACAGTGATACAGCGATACAGTTTCACTGGAGGCAGAGGCTACAAGGTGGGCCTGCAGGACAGGCGCCTGTGGACTGAGGGAGCAGGATGCTATGGTAAAGAGGCTGTCCAGTGGGCCTCCTTCCATCCACAGGACCTGGCTGTGAACACATGGCCACTTGTGAAGCCTGCCTGCCAGGCTGGCTCTAAACATGTACGGGACTTTCTCACACAGAGATCACAAATCTAGATGAGTAGTGATTTCAAACCTAGGCTCCTTGGTCCACAGGAGGCTGCCCAGCATCCTGGGTGCTCTTAAGTGGATTCTGGCCACCATCAGGTCAGTGAGCTGTGATTCTAGTCTGGACTCCAGCGAAGTATTAGGACTTACAGTGACCATGATTTGGGGACTCTGTCTGCCAAAGAGCAGCAGGCAGAGTGGGACTGTCACAAGAGGGCAAGGACACCTACCTGAGAACTGCAGAGAGCAGATAGCAGCCCTGCCAGGCATGACAGCATGCTTCTCACTGAGTGTACATGGCAGAGAATTCTTCAGAGGGTATTCCTTACTGGATATGAAAGAGAGCAAGAAAACTAGGAGAGTTCAAAAACAAACTAGAGAAGAGGTGGCTTTACCAGATGAATGTGTACATTTTATCCCATTAAAGTTGGACTGGGCTGGAGCGATAGCACAGCGGGTAGGGCGTTTGCCTTGCACGCAGCCAACATGGCTGACCCGAGTTCGATTCCTCCGCCCCTCTCGGAGAGCCCGGCAAGCTGCCGAGAGTATTCGATATGCCAGACACAGTAACAACAAAGTCTCCAATGGAGACGTTACTGGGCCCGCTCGAGCTCGAGCAAAGTTGGACTAAACTACATTAGAAACTATAAAGTACATCTATTCAGGGGCCAGAGAGATAGAACAGTGGGTCAGGCATTTGCTTTGCACAGAATCAACTTAGGTTTGATCCCCAGCATCCCATCTGGTCCCCTGAACCTGCCAGGAGTGATTCCTAAGCACAGAGCCAGGAGTAACCCCTGAATACCGTTGGGTGTAGCCCAAACCCCTACTGCCCCTGCAAAAAGGAAAATAAGTCTATACAAGAACTTACATTCCAGAGCACCAAATTAAAGCACTTGCCTAGCACATGGCCAACCCGGTTTGATCCCTGGCATTACTTAGGGTCCTTCGAGCAACTCCAGGAGTGACCTCTAAGCACAGAGCCAGTACTAAGCCCTGAACACTGCAAATATGCGTCCACACCCACATAAATATACACATAGCAATGAGCCAGGGCTTGGTGTTACTGTGTTCACGTGTCACATTTGACCACAGAATGTTTACCTAAGAACCTTTTTTCATAGCTACATGGCTAATATCCATGAGCCACTGAAATGGGAAACCCCAAAAAGTGGCAGGACCAGGGACAAGGCTTCATTAGCATATCTGCAGGTCTAATTACTGTGTATGGATAGATATTAAAATGGTAATATTCAAATGCAGCAGCCCATTGTCTCTTATTAGATGATGGAACCTAAAGTGTGGGCTGGCAGGAGCCCCAGAGTCTATACAAGAGCACCCACTCATTCCTTGTTCATATGGCCAGGACCCAGGGGGTTCTCTGATTGGTCCCTTTCACACAACAGACATGGGGCCAGACCAGAGACTGGCCTCAGCAACTCAGAGCTACTGGAGAAGAGAAATGTATCTTCAGAACTGTGAAAACACTACCGTTCAAAGTCAGAATGTGGTAAACAAATGCCCAACTTGATCTGTTCAAGTGGCTTGCCAAATTCTGTATTTGCTAAAACTGAAGTGTAACAAAAGCTGAATATTCCCAAATTGTTAAATGGTAAAATTAACAGCATAGCTGAAGACTCATTCATTTAAAATTCATTAATTTCATAGGAATTTAATGTGACTATAAAATATACATTAACATATACTTACATAGCACATACACACAGAGATGCACATAATACTCCTGAAACAATTCTACTCAAGCATGTAACAAGTTTGAACATTCGTTATGTACTTGGATGTGCAAAGTAACCACGTACCCTGGAAAACTCTTCCTGCACTTGGAGGGTCTCTCTTGACCTCTCTTGAGATTAGTCTTGGGAAAAAACATGGTGCCCCTAAAAAAGTAAGTCCTGAGGGTTAGGGCTCTGACCCTCTTAGGAGACTTGCAAGTGACCACAAGTAAACACAGAGGGCAGTGTGTCCAGGGCACCAGGCGTGCAGCAAATCTGTCTCTCTGGGGACAGACTTCCAGATACCATTTTTCCATAGCCCCCACTGTAAATGGTCCACCAATAAAACTGCATGAGATTTGTGGAAAAGATTTCAAAGCAATTGATTATAACAAAATCAGAATCTAAAGTGAAAACACAACCATTCTTAGGGAATTGCTTCCCTTTGGAGAATAAATGGACCCTGCCCGTTGCCCAGAAATAAAATTCCATTTACAGGTGCAATTTGCATGGGCTGTGAGTTAATGTGCCTTCCTGGAACAGAATCTCCCCATGGAATTCAAGCATCACACCGTGCAGGCCCTGCTTGGAGGAAAAGTCCTGCAGAGCGCCCGAGATCTGGAGGCACCAAAGGACAGATGCATGTGTAGGAGCAGCCTGGGCCCTGCCCTGCCTCAGGGTGGGACCCACTAGCTGTGAGCACTATGCCCCGAGCATGGCCAGGCAGAAGGGCCGACCCCTGCCCTCCGGAGTCTGCTTGTGGAAGGAAGGAACCCAAGTCTCTATGCACCCGGCTGAGTGCTAATACTCAAGGGGGCCTGGCGGGGTCTCATCTGGAGAAAGTGCAGGAGAGTCTGAGAAGCTAAGAGGTGGCTGAGAGGCACCTCCTGCCTCAGAGGCACCACCCTGGCTCCACACAGGGCCTCACACTCAAGACATGCCCACAAAACACTGCACTCAGGAATCACCAGGGCAACTGTCCATGGTTTAGGCCACCCACTTGGGGGCAGGGGTGGGGGAGTCAGTGCTGAGGCAGAGACGCTGCATGTGGCCAGGTGCCATAGTCCCCCCTCCTCTGCCCCATTCTCTTCTTCCTTCTCTTCCTTCTCTCCCTCCTCTATCCCATTCTCCTCTTCCTGTCCTTCCCTTCTCTTCCCTCCCTCCCCTCCATTCTTCCTTTTTTCCCTCCCTTCTCTTCCTTCCCTCCCTCTTCTCCCATTCTCTTGTTCCTTTCATTCTTTCCTCCCTTCCTCCTCCTTCCCATTCTCCATTTTTCCTTCCCTCCCTCTTCCTCTCCTTCTTCCCTTCTTCCTCCCCTCCCCCTTTCTTCTCTCCCTTCCTCCTCCTACCTCCCTTCTTCCTCCCCTCCTCCTCTCCCTTCCTTCCCTCCTTTCTCTCTTCCCTCCCTCCTACTTTTCCCTCCTTCCTCTCCTTCCCTTCCTGCCCTTCCACCTCCTCCATACTCCCCAATTCTATTCCTCCCTTTCTTCCTTTCATTCTTCCTCCTCATCTCTCTTTACTCCCTTCCTCCATCTCCCTCCTGTCCTTCCATCCTAGCCTCCCTCCTCTTCCTCTCCTCTCCTTTTCTCCCTCCACTCATCTCTTTCCCCTTCTTCCCTCCCTTCTTTCTCACCATCCTTCCATAAAAGCTTCCTGGGAGGGCCTGAGGTGGCAGGGGCTTCCTGGAATGTCTAAGGCCAGGGTTACATACCTGTAGGCCTGTTGCTCTCCCACTGGCCAGTGATCAGATCAAAGACAAAGCATAGCAAGACAGAGCTGGGAGGAACAACAGGTGGGGCACAGGCCTGGCAGCTCAACCAGGTACCACTATGTGGTCCTCAGGGAGGCTCGTGCAGGAGGGAAGGCCCAGAGCAGAGCCCTGGATGGACAGATTGCAGGATGGGTGTGAGGTCAGTACTGAGCAGAGGGTCAGTGGGTGCCAAGCAGTGGGGCACACAGAGCCCCTTGTTCACAGTGAGTTGCCCCTAGGCCCTCCATCCTCTATCCTAGGCTTCAGCCCCTCCACGAAGAGCAGGTCAGCCAGCAGATGGGACTGAAGAAAGGAAGCCTCTGTCCGCCTCTCACCCAGAAAATCCAAGGCTCCATGAGGACTGTGGCTAGGGAAAGGCTAGGCTCAGGCAGCAACACCCACACTGCTTGGCCACCTCACTGCCCAGGGTAGACCTGCCTTAGATGTCATGGAGGCAGGTGGGCACAGAGGGCAGCCAGAGTCTCCACCGCCCCATGCCCACCTGTCTGGGTCAACTGAGCTGGGTGGCACACAGGAGCACACTCGTAAGCGAGTGCAGAGGCCCCTACTCACCCGCTGCCCACAGGCTGCATACTCACCGTGGCGGTGCCCCGTACCCAGAGGAGCGGACCTTGCTGTGGAAGACCAAGGGCTGATCCCTCACTTTGTTCTGCACAGCTGCACAAAAGACAGAGTCGCCTGGTTGGCCTGACAGGCAGAGAGAGAACCGACCTCAGACAGGCAGACTCAAGAACAGGAGCCGCTGCTGCCCAAGCCGTGTCCAATGGGAGTGAACCCCAGGCAGCACAGGCTTGCTCTCTGCATGTCCCCTGACTGAATCCCTTGGATACAACACCCCCCCCCACCGACCCCCTGCCAAGTACTCGGCACTAAAATGGGCACCCACAAGAAAAGTTCTGCTCTGTGACCAACACGGGCCATGGGCTCTGTCACAGCCTGAGGATGAGAGCAGGATCCCTGGGGTGCTGCACCTCCCACCTTTCCCCATGGCCAACACCACATCGCTGCAGGCAAAGGGCTCCCACACACAGGTGCAGCAGCCTCCAACATGTTGGCAGGAAACACATAGTACTGCCTAAGCACTTTTCACTTGTGTGATACTTTGCATTTAACATGAGTGTTTTTGTACAATATTACTAAAAAGCTTGAGAGAAATGGATCACATATAATATTGAGTAAATACAAAAAGGGTTTTTTTAAACAAGGATCTTCAGTTTTTTTTTCAGGCACTGCTCAAATCTGATGACCTAAAGTCATGTTCCCATCAAAAGCCAAGTGAACTATAAGCAACATGCTGAGCCTCTCCCACTGCACGCTGGCCCAGGACGGCGCTGGCTGACAGGGGCTGGGCAGCAGCACGGAGAACCAGGCTGCAGGGCCTGAATGGGCAGGAATGTGCATGACTAACTCCGGGGATCCTGGAAACCTACTGTCAGAAAAAAATCTGAGGAAAATAACATGAAACAAGAAGAAAATAATTTCAGGAAAAATCAGCACCTGCTATAGGAGTATTAGTACTCATGACAGACTTGAAATAACTAGAACCAAGTCCATGAATACATGACTCCATGTCATTTTTATAAATCTATTAAAGATTAAAAACCCAGGACTATACCAAGAGATGTCTGGGGGACCACATGATGCCAGAAGTCAAACGGGTTTGCTGCGTGCACGGCAAGTGCTCTACTCCTCTACTCTCTCTGGCTCCTAGATTTTGTTGCTTTTTTAAAATAGGCTTTTGTAAGGATGATACAAAAATTAAAGATAGTGACAGTACATATAAGTCAACCACCTTCAATAATTTCCAGATGAGTATTTCCCACAGTAATTTAAATGCTATGTAAAATCTGTGTGACTTAAACAAAACTCAGGAGAAGCAGCACCTAGCACCTTACACACAGCAGAGCAGCAGAGGTGGATAAATCCTAGAACAACCCGGAGCAGACAGGAAAGAGGCCAGGTGAAGGAAGGTGGGAGGCAAGTACAGCAACCCCCACCCAGGACTCCTCTCGGCTGCCATCAGAACCCACACACTCACCTCGCTGGGTTAAGGCAGGCAGCTTAGTGGTGCTCTCCTCAGCCTTAACCAGATACAGAGGAGAGGCCGGTGAGACATGGGTACTGGGGAAAACAAAACTGCTGTGAGAGCACAGGGGCTGATGAGGGCCACGAACCGACAGGGCAGGGCTGCTCTGTGTGCGCAGGGCAGAGAGAAGTGTATGGGGGAGAGACAGCACAGCACTGATCCGTATGTCCAGGGACAGTGTTGAGAATGGAAGAACAATACTGAATACTCTCCTGAGAAGTAAGTTTATCGTATCTTCGGTAGTACGCTTTTTATCATCATTTACATTAGCACTGTCTGCACTGTCCTCCCGTTGTTCATTGATTTGCTAGAGCAGGCACCAGTAACGTCTCCATTGTGAGACTTGTTACTGTTTTTGGCACATCGAATACGCCACAGGGTGCTTGCCAGACTCTGCCATGCGAGCGGGATACTCTCGGTGGCTTGCTGGGCTCTCCAAGAGGAATGGAGGAATCGAACCTGGGTCAGCCTTATGCAAGGCAAACGCCCTACCGCTCCAGCCCATCATTTACATTATCTCCTAAAATACAATAACATGCTCTATTTAAATATGATCACATTTCCCCCATTTTAAAAAGCCTGAAGCAAGTGTAATATTAGTATGAACTCTCGCCTCCCGTGCTAGAGTAGGAGAGTCTACTAAGTTGGCTTTTGTCTCCAAAGACAGGACGAGGGCTGAAACACTCCCACTAGCCCCAGGCACGGGTGACAGGAAGGAGGGTACCTGGCCACAACGGAGAGACCCCGCTCCAGTACAGGCCTCTGCTGAGCCCTGACCAGGGCTCTGACGCCAATTTCCAGCATGGCGATCTTGTTGCCAAACAGGGATGAGAGGAGGCAGAAGGCCTAGGGACAAATGGGGCCATGGTGGGTGCGGGCAAAGTGTCTCCCATAGCCACTCCTTCCAGGGTCCCGAGCATCACTCGACAACTCGCACCAGCAGGGTCCAGAGAGATGCTCCCCGCTCACCTGGCCACTGCTGCCTCCGCTCCTCACAGCACACGAGCCAGATACCTGAATGGTCAGCTGCCGACACTCTGCATTTTCAGCAAAGAGGTGTTTCAGGTACGAAGTGAGTGCCCAGCCCCAGGGGCTTCCTGGTCCCCTGTTCCAAGTGCCATGCTTTCACCTGCCATACCCCAGGCCCGCACCATAGGTCCCTTTGGGAGCCACTGTGAACAGGCGGGCGGAGAGCAGAGTCTGTTCTGGAGGAGGGGGCTGCAGGCAGGCACGAGCACAGGGGGAGGCAGGCAGTCAGCTGGGGCGGAGGCCAATGCTGACGAGGTCTCCTGGCCAGCCCAGTCCCTGCTGCCTCCCCAGGAACAGAGCATGGGATGAGACTGGGGCGGGCAGGGGAGGTTTCTGGCAGGCCTGGGAGGGCAGTGGCTGCTCAGAGAGATACAGGCCAGCTCTCCCATCAGAAAGCTCTCAGTGAAGCTATGTGGAGCACTTGGAGGAGCAGCAATGGAGTAGGAGAGAAGGAAGACTGAGCAGATGCAGTGACTGGGAACCCCCTCGGGCAGGTGGGGAGGCAGGTTGGGGCTGCCATGCCCTGCCTGCTGGGCTTCCAACCCCAGACACAAGGAGGAGGTACACGACTGGCCTTCCCAGTAAAGAAGCTGGAGGGTGCTCTTACCCTTGTAATGTAAAACGGCTTCCAGTTCGAAGTTGGCCAGGTTGAATATGAATAAACCAGTAGAGCTCCCAGCCCACACACAGCTGGTCTTCTCAGGTGAGGAACTAGTTTCCAAAGGAGCAAACAATGCAGGCCCATCTCAGAGCAGCCCTACCCAGAGGCCCCTACCTATGCACTCGAGCTGCTCACCAACTGCTACTAAGTCTGGTGTGGACTCCAGGGTGCCCACCTGCCATGGACACAGCAACCCAAAGGGTCAAACCTGACCCCCACTCCACCCAGCTGCCAGGCTGTCTCTTCAGTGCTCACAATACAGTGTATGCCTGTGGCCTGTGCAGTCGCTGATCCAGTGGGGTCCCTGTGAGTGAGTGGGCTGGGGCCAGCTCAACACCTGAAGACCAACCATCGGCCTCCACACTGAGGAGGAAGATGAAGAGAAAGGTGTAGTGAACAGCAGAGCCCAAGGAGGCAAGTGCTCTGCCCTTCCTCCCGGTTTTCATCTGACTAACTAGATTCTTTCCCATACCATGTCAGCCACTTCTGGACTATGCATCCCCCCCTCCTCCTCCCGCCTCCACGCACACACCCTGCCACCTCTACCTACAGGCCTTCACTCCCTGGGCACCTTGAAGCTCCTGAACCTCTGACACGAGGGCCCAGGCCAGCATCAAAGCATCTGAGAGAAGAGGTTGGCTGGGCCCCTTCTGGCTCAGGTGCTCACTCAGAATCCAGGATGCTGGAGAGGTCACAGGGCGCCAGTCCCAGCACAGGCAGTGACACATCCACGCTTCCTGATGCTCCTCCTGACCCTCCTCGGTCCTCTACTGGGGAAAACGGACTGTCTGTAAGGGAAAAAGACTAATGAAGATTGAGCAGTGAAAGGAAAACCAGTAGGGAGTAAGCTGGTGGTGGGAGACACAGGATGCTGGAATAGCTCGGCCAAGACACACAGTGACACACAGCTGGACTGAAACAAGGGAAAGAGCACGAGAAGGAAGTCAGACCCCAACACACTCAAAATGGGACACTGGGGGGGAGTTGGAGTGTCAGGAGAAAACCTCAAAAGGGAGTAGGGAAGAGATTCAACCTGAATCACCTAAACATTAAAAACAAAACAAAACATAAAAATCCACCATTAGGGCCAGAGCAATACTATGGTGGGGAGGGCACTTGCATCGCATCCCATAGGGTCCCCCCAAGTGACACCAGAAGTAATCCCAAGTGCAGAGCCAGGAATAAATCCTGGGCACTGCTGAGTATGACCCAAAACCCAAAAGATAAAACCCACTATTAAACATTTAGGGAGATAAATTAGATGAAGTCTATATTTTAGATGCCATGATCTGCAATAATCTTTTGTTTTGTTTGTTTATTTCACTTAATCACAACTTCCTGTTAGTCGTCGATTTGCTCGAGCGGGTGCCAGTAACGTCTCCATTTGTCCCTGTCGCGTGCTAGTGTAGCCCAATGGCATCTGTTCGCTCTGGGAACATGAAGAGCCTCAAACCGATCATTCATGATCTTCACGAAGAAGTCTGACCATCTGGTAGGTGGGCGGCCACGTGGTCTTTTGACATCCCGTGTAATCCAGTCAGTAACAGCTCTAGTCCAGCGGTCATCTTTAAATCTCATTACCAGACCAGCCCATCTGATTTTTGACACCTTGGCAAACGAGACAGCGTCCCTGATTCTTGATCGTCAACGGATGTCGGAATTCCGGATTCTTTCTCTCCTTTGAGTGAAACGTGATATTCCAAGCATAGCTCTTTCTATTCTTCTTTGGGAGACCTGAATAGCATTCTCATCTTGTTTGCGTAGGGCCCAGGTCTCTGAGGCATATGTTAATGCAGGAAGAACAGTGGAATCAAAGAGATGTGCCCGGAGCCAGAGATTCTTCGTCCTCTTAGTTATTTCTTCGACGTTCTTGAAGGCGTTCCAAGCCGCTCTCTTCCTCCTGTGCAGCTCGGGTGCCAGGTCATTTGTCATATTGACTTCTCGACCTAGGTACACATAGCTGTTGCATTCAGAGATGGTCGTTCGGTTGAGAGCGAATGGGGCATCAGGAACGAGGTTGTTTCTCATAAACATTGTCTTCGTAAGATTCAGCTGTAGTCCTACATTTCTACACTCACGGTCAAAGTCGGCCAGCATTTGTGCCGCTTGGCTGATGTTTGGTGTTATTAAAACAATGTCATCAGCAAAGCAGAGGTAGTGTAGTTGCTGACCATCTATCTTCCCTCCCATTCCTTCCCATTCCAGTCATCGCATGATGTTCTCAAGGGTGGCACAGAAAAGTTTCGGTGAAATGGTATCACCCTGCCGCACCCCTCTCTTGACATCAATGATTACTTCTTTGTAGAATGGTGAGATCCTGGTAGTGAATCCGCAATACAGCTCATGGAGGATCTTGATGTATTGGGCTTGAATGCCCTGATTGGCTAGGGCTTCAATGACCGCTTCCATCTCAACAGAATCAAAGGCCTTCTTTAAATCAATGAATGTTAAACAGAGCAGCATCTTGAACTCCCGAGGAACCTCAATGAGCTTGGTTATCGTGTGGATATGGTCGATGGTGCTGAATCCTTTGCGGAACCCGGCTTGCTCTCATGGTTGTCCTTCATCTAGTGTTCTGCCAATCCTATTTAGGATGACTCGAGTGAACAACTTGTAGATGACAAACAATAGGCAGATCGGGCGATAGTTGCCAATGTCATGGATATCTCCCTTCTTGAACAGTAGTACAGTCCTGCTGGTTTTCCATTGGGACGGAAACTTGCATTCAGACAGGTAGCGAGTGAAGAGCCGAGCCATTGTATTGATGAGTACTGACGGCAGGTTCTTCAGGTGTTCAGGTCTGACCTTGTCTGGGCCGGGTGCTGTTCGTTTCTTTACCGACGAAATGGCGTGTCGGATTTCGGAAGGGAGAACGTTGGGAACGACATATCCATCCTGTGGAATTTGGTATGTCGGCAAGTGGACATGGCTATCAAAGAGATTTGAGTAGAAGTCATGGATAATCTTCTCCATTGCCGTTCTGGAGGATGTGATGGATCCATCAGGACGTCGGAGGGCAGTCATCTTGGTCTTGTAGTTGGCGAAGGACAGACAGACGTAACGAATACTTTTCCCGGCTTGTGCTGCATCTACCAGCACTTCTGCTCTTCTCTCTTTGAGGTCTTCCTTGATCGCATCTCTGCACTGCTTTGCGAGCTCGGACGTTAGCGTGCAGTTGCCTGAGGCATGCGCCAAACCACGCTGGCGAATAAGCTCAAGAGTTTTCGAAGACAGGCGTTTTTTTTTTTTTTTTGTGGCTATCTCTCTCTTGGCGTTCCTCGCACATTCATGGAGGTGCTGTACCAGTCGATCGTATTCCTCATCAATGTTGTCAACAATGGCATCTTCCCATGTTGCCGCAATAGTGCCAAAGAGCTCCCAGTTGGTGGTCGTTCTGGGAGTTCTCTTTTTAAACTTTGCAGCCCTTTCTCCCCACTCTGTGAAGTAGAATTTTGCACGAATGAGACGGTGGTCCGATCCCATTTGGAATTTTGGGACAACAGCGACATCGGTCAGGCAAAACCATCGATTGAATATGATGTGGTCTATTTCGTTGTGGAATCGTCCACCGGGAGACTCCCATGTCCAACGTTTAGATTCTGCCTTCTGGAACTGTGAGTTACCATGGATGGTCTTGGTCGACATGATGAACTCAGACAGTCTCTCACCCTGTTTGCTCCATTCTAGGCCATGGGTCCCGATGTGAAGTTCTTCAGCTGATCTTCTCGGTCCTATCTTGGCATTAAAATCACCCACAATGATCTTGTAGAAGGTGTGGTCTTCTTTATAGAACTTCTCCAGCTCCATGTAGAACTTCTCGATTTCTCTTTCATCATAATGAGATGTTGGTGCGTAGACAACGAAGATAGAAACTGCAGGCAGTGAGCCACATCTATTCAAATGTAAACGTCCGATTCGGGTTGTTAGGCATTTGAATGAATCAATGCTCATGGCCAAGTTTGTGTTGACAAGGACACCGACGTCTCCGACACCTCTTTTATCGCATGTTCCGAGGAACAATTCTTCTCCACTGTCGAAAACGGCATGGTGAGATTCGTGCCTTCTTGTCTCAGTCAGACCAATGATGTTGTACTTGATCATTCGCACTTGTACCATCAGGTCCTCGATGGATGCATCTGATGTTAGCATATGTGCATTGAAAGTACAGACGATCATTTTTGTATTCCTTCGTTGTGGCAGCCAAGTTTGGCCTTGAGATTTTATCGGCCTCTCCTTTCTCATCCTTCTCAATGCTGTCATATTGGTGAAGCCTTCAGGGTCCGGTGAATGAGACCAGTTGTAGTTACTGGTTTTGGCATATCGAATACACAACGGATAGCTTGCCAGGCTCTTCCGTGTGGGCGGAATATTCTCGGTAGCTTGCCAGTCTTTCCGAGAGGGACAGAGGCTTTTGGGGCGACCTCTAATCGCCCTCGTAGGTGTTACCATATTTGAACCCTATCAAATATGGTACGACAATTCCGGAAAATGGGTATTTAGTGTTTTATGATGTCCGCGCGGGTCCGGAAAGCGTCCTGGAGTGTGCTGGCAGCTGGGTAGTGGAGATAGTGTCGGTAGTGTCTGCCAGTGGGGTATTTATCTGGTCCCAGTAGGGGTAGGGTGGGTCTTCTGTGCGCAATCCGATCCCTGGGTGGTTGGTGGAAGCAGACAGGGCAGGGTAGGGTGGGGCTCCTGATTAGAATCCCTTTGTCACCTGTGGTTGGTGGAAGCAAGCAGAGGATCTCTGTCCCTTGGTCCACCGAGCCTGGAGTCCAAGGTCTCAGAGAGTTCCGCTTATCTTGTTCTGTGGGTCTTCAGTCATGCGTGAGTCTCGGCCGGAGCTGCCACGCGGGTCCAGAAAGCGTCCTGGAGTGTGGTGGTGGCTGGGTAGTGGGGCTCCTGAGCCATGCGGGTCTTGTCGTGGAGCACCACAACAGGGTCTGTCAGAGACCGGTGCATGGGACCAATCCCTGTGGGCCTGGCGCCTCCCCAGCACCAGGCTCTTCACTTGCCTTGAGTTGGAACATGATTGCATTCACACCTGTAAATTGGATTGGGGGCTCCATCCTGGCCTCGCTGTCCACCTTCCAGCAGATGTGGATCAGCAAGCAGGAGTACGACGAGTCGGGCCCCTCCATCGTCCACCGCAAATGCTTCTAAACGGACTGCAGAGGCTGCCCTGCAGGGAGGCGCCCGCCTAGCAGTGCCCTCCCGCAGCCCCCAAAACTGGAATCAGCCTGAGGGAAATCGTCCTTGAAGCTTACACTCTTGTTTATTTATTTATTCATTTATTTAATTTTACTAAATCACCATGAGATAGTTACAAGCTTTCATGTTTGGGTTACAATCACACAATGATCAAACACCCATTCCTCCACCAGTGCACATTCCCCACCACCAATATCTCCGGTATAGCCCCCTTTCCCACCCTTCTCCTGCCTCCATAGCAGACATGATTCCCCATAATCTCTACTTTTGGGCATTATGGTTTGTAATACAGACATTGAGAGGTTATCGTGTTTGGTCCTTTATCTACTTTCTGCACACATCTTCCATCCTGACTGATTCCTCCAGCCATCTTTTTCTTAGTGATCCCTTCTCTATTCCAGCTGCCTTCTCCCCTTTGCTCATGAAGCAGGCTTCCAGCCAAGGAGCAATCGATCTGTCCCGTGTATCTACTATCCTTAGGTGTCAGCCTCATGTTATGTTTTTTTTTGTTTTGTTTTATTTATTTTTATTAGTGAAACACCTTGAGGTACAGTTGTAGACTTACAAATTTTTGTGCTTG